CCGGGCCCCAAAGCACGGTCGGCTCCAGCTGGGAAGCTCAAGGCAGCGGCGGCCGGAGCGGGGAGCCAGAAACCGGGAGCACAGAGCTCCCTGAGCACTGCCGCAGCCAGGAGAGACGGCCCAGGATCAAAGGAGGGTGGGGACAGGTTCAGGGCAATGCTGGTGGCCTTCCTGGCAAGCAGCGAGGCGCAGTTGGATTTCCCCACATCCCTGAATTCCCACGAGCGGATGCTGGTCCACGTGCTGGCAGAGGAGTATGGGCTGCAGCACCTGAGCTCCGGGGAGGGCCGGGACAGGTACATCAGTGTCCGCAAGAGACTCCCCAAGCAGCCCCCACTGCCCTCCGAGCCTTCTGAGCCCCCACTGCCCTCCGAGCCCCTTCCCGAGCCCCCACTGCCCTCCGAGCCCCCGCTGCCCTCCGAGCCCCTTCCCGAGCCCCAGCATCCCAGCGGGAGCACCCCTGACCCTGTGGAATGGGGGGAAAGCAGCAAGGTCTCAGGCAAAGTAGACCTGAAATCCCTGCACCTGGAGAGAGTCCAGAGGGAGAAAGCCAGGCGGGAAGAGGCAGCCAGGAAAGTGCAGGAGCCCAGGAGTGGCAGAAAGAAAAAGGACAAGAGTGAAGCCAAAGGTGGGTGAAGCTTTTTGTAACCAGCACAATTAATGCTCTTCCTTGAATGGATTTTAATCTCTGTGGGTTTGCTCCAGACCTTGGGACTTGGGTGTGGAGCATGTGTCTTGGAAGGCTGCAGGGAGGTGGGAACTGGCTGCTGCATCCAGGTAGAGGGGTTTAGATACTGGAGGCACATTTCTTAAGTCAAGAAAAACACTGGAGACCCTTTCCCAAGAGAGAGTCTCAGGAATCACATGGGAGGCTCCCAAGAGTAGGGAGAGGAGCTGAGGGGAGTATCTGGCCCACACAGAAGGATGTAAAGGCAGAGGCTGCCCTGTGGCTGCAGGAGGGTGGGTTTGTTCCCATACTCCAATCCAGGTGTGTGCTCACCTTTCCCAGGAAAACCGGCAATCGGGAGCGAGGCGGGAGAGGATTTCGACGCTCTGATCTCCGCTGCCGTCGAAGCTGACAGGACCTGTGGCTTCCCCCGCTGCAAGGCCTCTGTCACCACCCTGGGCCAGCTCTGCCACCACTGCCAGCGGCTCTTCTGCCTCAGCCACCACATCCCCGAGGTAAGGAGGGGCAGGATGGGCTTAGCCTGGGAGCTTGCCTGTGGAGCTCCCTGGACAGGGAGGGTTTCCTTGCAGGGCATTTGAGGAGACCCCTCCCTGTCAGAGCCTGTGCTGAGCTCAGGTACACAGGGCTGGCAGGTGCTGCCACCTGGGTTCTGCTCGCCTCTTTCTGAGGGCTTTTCTGTTTTCCTCATTTTGTGCCCTTCTTTACCATTTTCTGGCACTTGCACTCTGAGGCCCTGTGGATAAGGTGAGGCAGAGAGCAGAAATGGAGAAGCACAAGTTTCAGGCTCAAGCGAGCCTGGACTCAATTCCCAGCTCCTTGCACGTTCCCGCTGCATTCTGAGGATGATCCCAGCCCTTTGCAGATTGTCTCTGCACCCTGGGGACAGGTCAGGCACGGTGCAGTGCTGCCTGGCCAGCAATTCAGAATTCCCTGTGTCCTTGTTCCTCACCCTGTGGAACCCCCAGGAGCTCAGCAGCCCTATAAATCCTTGGCAAGCTTTTCCCTCTGTCAAGAGCTATCTGTTTCCATGGCAAGGAAAAGTTGTATTTATGGTCACTCACATCCAGGGGGATGGAGATTTATTCCCTGCAGAATGGCCTTTCCCTGCTGAATGGTAACAAAATCCATGTCAGCTCTGGGAAGGGCTGCCACAGCTCTGAGGGAACAGGCTGGGACCTCACTCCATGGAAACATAAATGACTTCGGGATGGGGCAAGAGAAGGGATCAGGTTTTAGGATCTCACTTGTGAGGGATAATTCCAGTGTTGGACTTGGCTCATTAAAGCAGCAGATTGGTGGCTAAAAAAGGTCTCCTGTTCCCCAAAACTCCTATCCCAGTTCACTGGAAAAGAGATGGAAGGAGCCACTTGAACCATCCCAAAGGATGATTTACCTGCTGTTCAGAGCCCAGGACCTGGATCTTTATACTTTGTTCTGTGTGAGAGAAGCTATAAATGATCATTTAATAAAACACAGAAAAACAAATATTAATTTTAAACAAAAAGTATAAGAATATATAAAAATATAGAATCTAAATATAAAATGAAACTAAATAAAAATAAAATTAAATTAAATAAAATGAAAATAAATAGAATGAATAGTAAACAATTATAATAAATAATGAATAAAATAATAATGAATTAATAAAATAAATAATAAATAGCAAAATAATAACTAATTGAAATTATAAAAATATATAAGTATATAAAACAATATAACTGCACAATAATAATGATAATTATAATAATTATAATAACATAATGATAATAATGGCTGTAAATGATAGGAGATGATTTTAGGGGGGTGCAAAGCAGGCCAAAAAGGAGCTCCAGGCTCAAGGAGTGAAGGCCCCTGGCTCCCACGTGGGTGATCCGTGCCCAGTGCCCGGTGTCGGTTCTCTCCCGCAGGTGCACGGCTGCGGGGACAAGGCCAAGGCGCAGGCACGGCAGCGGATCAGCCGGGAGGGGATCCTGTACCCCGGCAGCGGCTCCAAGGACAAATCCCTGGATCCTGCCAGGCGAGCCCACCTCCAGCGGCGCCTGGACCAGAAGCTCAGCGAGCTGACCAGCCAGAGGAAGGGCAAAAAGAAAGACAAGGAGAAATGAGGGACCTGAATTCTGGTTTTTTAGCCTCAAAGCCTCAGCCCACCCAGGGCAAAGCTGCTGTTCTAGGCCTGGGTGGAACAGCAGGCTCCATTCTGGGGGAAAAACCTGGAGCTGGGAGCCTTCCCAAGCTGCAGAGCCAAGGCAGGGGAGGGAGAGCTGCTGCATTGTCCTGGTTATCCATATGGACATGATGATGGATGCACTCAGGGTCCAGAGCACGCTGGTGAAATGGGCATTAAACACCCAAAGCTGTCACTGTCACATCGGTCCCTGTGGCAGCACATGATGGATGCTCGGGAGCAGGAACGGGAGGCACAGAAAACCCTGGGTGATCCTGTTCTCCAGGGAGGGTGGCTGAGAAAATGAATGTATCCCAGCCCAGCAATCTGGCACTGCTCAGAGCTGGAGGGACCCAGCTTCTCCACACTACAGCCATTCCCTCCCCACGTGGGCCAGGGGCTCAGGAGGGGGCTCAGCCCTGCTCCAGGTGCGCCTAGGGATGGGAATAGGGATGGGGAAGGGAGGCCTTAAGCCCAAACCATGCTGGCACCATGAGGAGCTGCTCCAGCACATGGAACCATTGCCCTGGGAGAGCCTTCCTGTGCCACTGGGAGGTCTCTCCCTCGTCACTGCTGCCTGTCCCTTCCCAGACCTGTCCTGACCTTCCCACTGAGCTCCTTGGAGGCTGATTCCCACTGGGAAAGCCCATAGTGACAGCAGGTCCAGCCACATGAGCTTTGGAGGTGGGAGGGAGCCTTGTGTTCACCCTGGACCCTTTCCTAATTCTTCACACAGGGTCCATCCATCCCAACCCCAAAATACCTCCAGCAGCATTTCTTGTCCCCAGGATGAAGGGGAAGGTGCAGAAGTGCCTCCAAATAGGAATGGCTGGAGAAGAGCACTGTAAAAATGCCTAATCCACACATTCCCCATCCTTTTGGGGCTAAACATCACAGAATCCAGCACGTGTGGAAGTCACTACCTCATCCCAAGTAAAGCTCAGCAGTTGGCAGGGGCTGACACAACCAAGGATTTCTGTGTCCATCTCTTCCCAAAAACTTGGCTAGAATAGCTAATAAGCAAATTTTCCCCCAAACCTTGTGCGCCGTGAGTACTGGCTGTGAACAACTTCCCACAAAAACTTCCTCATCCTTCAAACCCTTCCATCTTTGGCTTGTGCCTTGGTGCTGTGCATCACCCATGGAGGGATGGCACTGGCTCCCCTGGCAGCAGGTGAGATAGGGGTGGCTCCTAGAGGGAGAGGTGGGGAGGAGGATGTGTGGGAGAAGGGAATTTGGGAATCGGTGACCGGAGACAGACATGGGGAGAAGCAGGAGCAGAGGGGGATGATGGAACAGGGACATCACAGCCATGTCCCAGAGGGACCAAATGGGAAAAGTGCCACCAGCTCAGGGGATAACTCACCTTGGAGTTACTTTTTAGACAGGGAAAAACAGATAAATGACTCATTAACACCTTTCTCCCTGCTCAGATCATCCAAGCAGCCACATCCCAGCCCATGCTCATCCTGTGGTGCCAATGCCATGGCAGAGAGCCCCAGACACCCCCAGATTTCCCAGCCTGGCTTCCCACAAGCAGCCTGCAGGCATAGAAAAGCCAAGGCTCCAGGCAAGGAGGGATGTGGCCCCAATGCTCTGTTCTCCAGCCTGTGCCATGAGGGGGTTCCATCACCCCCTCCACAAACCAGAGTGGGAATTAGCTCCCAAAAAATCCCAAACCTGGCTTGGGCCAGAGCCCACCAGGAGACTGGATCCACACAAGCTTTTCCCCTCTCTTCCTCCTGAAACAGGAGTTGGGCTTAAAAATTATAAAATTAGGGACTTTTCCCACCTGCCTTGGGTCACAAGGCCAAGATGTTCCTCTCTGTGCCCAAATCTTGGATAAAATTAGTTATAGGGTAAGTCACAGCCCAAGTCCAGGATTAGGGGCTGGTAGAAACAATTCCCAGTTGTGAGAGTTAAGTAGCAGGAATGTGCAGTGCTGTCCTGAGCACTCTGAGGGTGAATTTAGATTGGAAAAGTGGCTGGGGTGGGAAAAGCTGTCCCTGATCCTACTGGACCTTTAGGGGATGATTCCCAGAGTGGACCTGACCTCAAACCGAAGAGGCCGGAAATCAATCCCTGTCTATGCAGCCAGTGGAGATGGGCAGGGATTGACTGTGTGGGGGAACAGATGGGAGGAGAAGCCATATGTAACAATCTATTTCTGCTGTTATTGCTCCCTTTTTCCATTCTCGCTGGAAACATTCCAACCCTGGCACAGCGCACCAAAGTCACTACAAAAGATCCCCTCAGGATCACCACCCACGCCAAGCTGGCTTTTGTCACCCCCCCTCACGATTCCCACCCAAAAACCACCTTCCAAAGGAATCCCCCTCTCCCTTGCTCAGAGTCCCTCTTTGAGGATTCCATGGATTTCGAGGCCATTGGGAGCACGCGGAACGCTTGGGAGCCGCACTTCGAGGAGGCTCCTGCTGCTTTTGGTCCATTTGGGTCCTTCCTGGCAGCTCTGGCCCAGCACAACCAGGAACGCGCCCACGGAGCCGCTCTGTCCGTGCTCTGGCTATTTTGGGCCCCTGAGCAGCTCGGCCTTGTGGGGTGCCACCGAGTCCCTACTCCAGGCTCGCTGTCCCCAGGATCCGGCCTAATTCCTGCGGAGTGGGTGCCACATGGAGACGGGCTTGCGGAGCGTGGCCAGCATCTGGTTCCAGTGCGTGGTGCCCATGCCGCTGGCCGTGGGCCCGATGAGCACGTGGCCCGTGTTGTCACCACGCCCGTCCTCGCCGCTCTCAGCCACCGTCACGCGCAGGGACAGCTCCTGGCGGGCACGGGGCTGTCACCACACGCAGACCCATCCAGACACGTGTCCCTGGGCCCTCTCCATGGGGACATGCACCCACGATGCCAGCACATCCATGCATCACCACCCAGCCTGCCATACCCCACATGCACACGACCCTCTGTACCCCCACCCTGTTCAAACCCACCCCCTATTCTTGAAGCCCCCCCAAATCCCTAAATACCCACCCTTGCATACCTCCACACTTAAACATCCCCCTCTTTTTACTCCACATCCCCTAAACCCATCGTTGCCCTATCCACGTACCAAACCATCCCTGTGCACCCTGCTATATCCCAACCCACACATCCATCTCCTCCCCACGAGTGCCCCACACACGTCCCCCCTCCAGCAGCCATTTGCACACATCCACACCTCTCCAAACAGCCTCCACACATCCACACCTCTCCAAACAGCCCCCACACATCCATACACCCCACAACAGCCCCCACACATCCATACACCCCACAACAGCCCCCACACATCCACGTCCCTCAAACAACCCCCACACATCCACCCCAAATCACACCCACACACACGAACCCCACACCTACCAGAATCACCTCCCCAGAACCCCACAGCCCCAGGAGCTCCCCACCAGTGGGTCTGGGGAGCCTGAGGAGCACTGGGATGTGTTCCCCTCCCCAGTCCCTTGGGCTGAGCCTGACCTGGAGCACGATGGCAGGCACGGAGAAGATCATGGCCTCGTTAAACACAGGGTTGGTGTCTCCCCTTTTCACCGCTGTCTTCTTCTTGCTGATCTTCCTCCCATCCTGCAGCAGGTACACCTTGACGAAGGGATCTGCTCAGAGGGCAGGAGAGGGATCAGTTCCATCCCACGTGTCCCCAGCAATGTGGAGAAAGCATGGGACCCTTTCCAGTGGCCTTCCCAGCAGATCTGTCCTCATGGGGAGCCACTCCCATCGTAGCAACCGAGATAAACCAGGACAAACCCCACCACGGAGCCCCCCTCACCTGCAGTCACCTTCCCATTGCTCCACACGAGGTTCTTGGCTTTGACCACCACCACCGTGAGCCGCTCGGCTGTGGGCAGGTAACTCAGGGAGAGCAGGATCTCCCCCACCGTGTCCACCGCCTGAGGGACACAACAGTCAGGACACAATGTCCAGGGCACGGCCACAACGCCCCAAAACCCAGCTGGAAGACAGGACACTCCTGGCTCACCTTGTTGGTGTCCTGCAGGTAGAGCCAGGCGTTGAAGGGGCGCATGGCCAGGTCCAGGTCGGAGAGCTTGAGCTCGGCCACGCCGGTGCTGACGCTGCGCTCGTCCTCATCGATGCCGAAGACGGAGAAGCGCAGGCTGTTCTCCTCCAGCGCCGCTGGATCCAGCGGCACCGAGAAGCGCTCATCAAAGGCCACAGAGTAGGAGCTCCTCTGGATCTGCCATGGGAAGGGGGGATAGCCCTGGCACCCCTGGGGCTTGGGGCTGCATCCCTGCTCTGCCCCATTTTGTGGGGACTGCAGGGAGCGCATCCCCAGGGCACACCCCATCCAGTCGGGATGATTTATTCCCGACCTGACCACAGCAACTGCTCGGCCATTGGGGTGAAAAACAGGGCTGTGACCTGCCCCACCACCTGTTAATTCTGTTAATTAGAGAATCAGCCTTGGCCCAGCGATCTCAGATACATCCCAAGCCTCTGGGAGTGTGGATGCACACCCGGCTTGGCCGTATCAGGCAGGATGATTTATGGCTTCAAGGTGTAACCCCCAGCCCTTCTCCAAGCAGAGCCAAATCCTCAATGTGCCCAGTGGGAATGGAGCTGTTCAGCTGATGCTGTCCCTCTGTCAGGTCATTCCCTGGGAGCAGAGGCAGCAGCAGCAGCTCCCATGGCTCATCCTGCTGATGCTGATCCCAAAGAACTGGCTGAGGGGAAATGCTCTGAAGTCATTAATTTAGGGGTTGTTTTTTCCCCTACTCCAGCCCTGTTTCAGCATTCAATATGTCACAGGCAAACCAAGATTCTGACCCATGGTATGGAAAGCTTCAGCCTTGGATAACATGGAGCAAAGTGGAACCACCAGCTCCCCAAAGCCCCCCAAATCTGGGTGGAGTAGGGACCTCTCTGAGGGGCTCTGTCACCCCAAAAGCCCCCCAAGAAAGGGTTCATCTCCTCCAAGGACTCTCTCCTGTCTCAGTCTGCTCCTAACCCTGCTCCATCCCTGGATTAAAAGACACAAAGGCAGCGTCTGCCATTCCTGCCTTCTTAATCCAGGCTCTCCCACTGGATACCAACCTCCAGAGCTCCCGGAGGATTGAAGTTCCTCTGTGTGAAGAGCAGATTTTAAAGCCCTACAGATTTTACAGACTGTCTGTCTGCAGCCTACGCTGTATTTTGGGAGCTCTGGATCAAGTACAACCAAACAGGAGCTGCTATTTAAAAACCCTCCAGAAGCACTGGGGGGGAAAAAAAGTGCCTGGGCCTTTATCCGTGGCCTTGGGGCAGCAAAGGAGGTAAATTGTACTGGTGAATTATAAATAATGACACTAAATAATAAATATCTCCAGAGCATAAATAAAGAGTCAGAGATTTGGATGGAAAAATTGTCTAAAAGGGCACTGTAGAAATATTTTGGAGGCAGCAGCTGGTTTGTGTGTATGGAACAGCACCTCCACTCCAGTGGAGAAGTGCCTTAATGGGGTGCAAATTCCTATTCCTTGCTGGAATATCCTGATTAAATCAAAATGACTCCGCAATAGAGGAGATATTGGAAGAAAACTGAGGTTCCTGCTTTCCAAAAGCAGCTTTTGAGGCACTTAAAAAGGGAGGTTTTGCATCAGATCCAACCCCAGTTGTGGCTGTCACGGCTGCCACATGGATTTTCTACTGCTGCATCCTTTGTGGGGATGGAAAAGCGTTGGGGCTGTTGTGGGAAGGAGAGGGACTGTGGGGCCATGGCAGGACACCAGCAGCACCTGCCCAAACTGTCAGTGCCACCTAAATCCCACTCCAGGCCACTTCCTCCACGTGCCACAGAGTCCTTTCCACAGCAGGGACAGTCAAGCAGGAAAACTTGCCACCAGCCACACTCAGAGATGACAAAGTCAGCCCAAATCCCAGCCAAGGGGGAGACATTCCTGCCTCCGCCAGGTTTCTGATGTGCAAACCCACCTGGGACATCCCTCAAAATCCTTTGCCAATCTAGAGCCCTCTGCTCCCAAATCCCATCACTGCTGTGGGGAGCTGAGACCCACCCCAAAATCCCATGTCAACCACATCCAGCCTGGAATTCCATGCACCCAGACCCCACAACTGCCTTGGGGAGCTGATATCCCCCAAATCCTGCGCCAACCATTTCTGATCCTCGCATGTTTGGACCTCCCTGCTCCCAAACCCCACCACTTCCTTGGGGAATGTGGCCAGGGGATACTACTACCCAGAACCCGGGGGGACCCACGCGTGCACAGGGGTCCGTAGGGCGGTCTGGCTGGGAAGGGGGGGCTCACCCGGGAGATGCCGACGATCTGCTCGGCCGGGAGGAGGCTGATCCGCATGAAGCAGGACTCGAAGCGCGCGTCCTCCTTCTCCAGCAGGTCCTTGCCCTGCAGCAGCGTCACATGCAGGGCAGCCGCCCTCCCGTCGTACTCCATGGACACCTCCACCTGCCCCACCGTGAAATCCTGCCCGAAGTTGTTCCCGATGGACGAGATGGAGTTCAGGGAGTCGGCCGAGATGGATTTCCGCAGGGGGCCGTAGTGGGCCAGGCCCAGGTCTCTGCCCATCAGCTCCAGGCTTCCCAGCTCCTGGATACTCTCCAAGGCGTCCTCTGCCCTCAGGCTGCTCTTGCGGGACGAAGAGCTCCGACCTGGCGCCCGCTGCGAGCCCGGGGCCAGCCCTCGCTGCCAGGGGAAGGAAAGCAGGCGCTGCCATGCATCCCATTCCATCCCATCCCTCCGTGCCGAGACGGACAGCTGGGCTTCTCCAGGGCCTCCTTGGATGCATCCCGGCCCCTGCCTGGCCTCAAGCTGCCGCGGCAGCGAGCCCGGAGCTTCCCGCAGCTCCCAGCTCCAGCGATCCCCCGAAAAACTCCAACAGCACCAGGCTGCTGCCTGTGGCAGCTCCCCCCGCGAGGGGATCTAGGAGAAATTCCCACCCCTCCAGCATCCCGCGTGCTGCGAAGGGAAGGAGACAGACGCAGCTCGCCCCTTACCTTGTTCCTGACGTCCGGGCACGCCGCTCCGTACTTCTGCTCCAGGTACCGGTAGTCATAGTTGGGGAAGGGGGAAGGGGCCGGGTAGCTCCCGGAGCGCCAGAGCTTCCACAGGTTGATGGCTGCGATTCCCAGCAGCGCCAAGGCGCCGGCGGCGTAGAGCCCGATCTCCCACCGCGGCGGGCTGGAGGCCACTGCAGGGGACAGGGGGCTCCGTGAGCCGGTCACAATCCCGGGAAGGAGCCTTCGGCCTCGGCTGCTTCCACGCCGGGAACTCGGCTCCAAGCTCCGAGGATGGGATGGACCGAGGAGCGGATAAACCGCAGCTCCCACCCGGGCGGCTGCAAACGGGCCAGGCAGAGGCTCTGCCAGCCCAAACATGCCAGCCCTGGCTCGGCTTTCCCGGGAGATGAAGTTCTCCTGTGTCCCGGCCCCGCTTCCCAGCGAGTGGCTGTGTCACTCCCGAGGTGCCGGGGGTCCCTTTGCTCTGTCCCACTGACAGATGTGCCCGGCGCGCATCTGCATCGCCCTCGGCCCAGCTGCTGCCTGGGGATGCCAGAAAAAGCCGGGAGAAGGGAAAAACCAAGCGGAAAGCTGCTGGAAACAGGCAGAGCCCCGCGGGTGCCGCCGGAGCGAGCGGGGAGGGAGCGCCGGGCTCGGCTGCGAGCGGTTCCTGCTGCATTGCACCAGCCTCCATCACTCCCGCGCCGAACCGGCACCAAGCGCCCCGCGCGGCACGGGAAAGGGGCAAAGAGAGGATTTCTCATCCCGGAGCGCTGCCGCGGAGTCCTCCGGCATCACCACACCGCAGAGCTCCCTCCTTCGGAGCCGGAAAAAGCCCAAAGCCAGGCTGAACTCCCACATCGCATCCCAGCGCAGGGACAACCTGCTGCTCCCCACAGCCCTCCTCCAGCGGGAGCGGCAGAAGGAACTGAGTATTCGCATCCAAAGCGAATTGGATCCCGGGAGCAGCCCACAGGGATCTCAGATTAAACACTGGGATGGGACCCGGGTCCTGCTTCATCCACCCCAAAGCAAACCCTAAAGGGCTCTGCTCTATCCCTGCATCCTGGCTAAGGACGCTGTGGAAAGCAGTTGGAGGTTTCCCGTGCCAGAACTCCCAGGAGGGGCAAAATTTGGAATGAAAATAAAAATAGCAGAATAATCTTTTACTGGCTCCTACCTCTGAGGAACTCCAAGTGCAAATCCCATCTGAACTGACTGGAATCTGCTTCCTCCTCATCCCTGCGCCTGAGGGCTGAGCACTCATGTTGGAAAACTTGGAGGTTTTAAGGGTTTTACCCTTGCTTTAGGCAACAAAACCCAGTGGGCACATGGAGCAGAGGGTTCTCCCCGTGGAAAGCAGTGAGGGCCAGCCAACCATTCCCCAAAAAAACCTCAGTGTGAGCACCAGCAGCTCTGCCCCAAACCCTTCCCGGGCTCCCTGGGGAGGACTCACCGCTGAAGCGGGATCTGCTTATGTGCCCAGTGTCCATGGCAAACGCTCCCTGGAATGAGCGAGACACAGCGTCAGGAGGAAGGGGGAGAACTCAAAAATCGAAAGCCTTGTGATTTTCCAGCAGGGATGCTCCATCATTTCTTCCTCTCCATCACTCCCAGCCTTGGCTCCTCTTGCAGGCACTGAGCAAACGCGCTGAAGCCTCTCAGCCACCGACAGGAGCTGAAGGAGGGATGGGAACCCTCGGGAAGGGGCAGAGCCACTCGATTTACACGGGAGCCTTTAAAGAGGCGACATTCCCAACCACTCTGTGTGTGGAACCTCCCTCCAGGAGCCCTCAAAGCCCTTTGCTGCTTTTCCAGATGAAATCTTCCTTTGCCTCCTGCAGTTTCCCAGCCTCTCCCAAGGCTTTGCCCTGTGCCCAGCCAAGGGAGGCAACCCTACTCCCTCATCTTGGGGTCACTGTAGAGTTTAGGGGATTTTGTTCCCCAGGAATAAGCTCCTGGGAAAGCTCTGTCGGCTTCCCCCCAAAAAGGGTTTTTCCTAGTCAAATCAAAAGGAAGCTGCTCTCCCAGGCAGATCCCAACACAGGCACCATGGATGCTGAGGGCAATTTATCCAAGCCAGCCACTCCTGCTAGGAAAAGGGGGGTTTAGGATCCCCAAAAACACCCAACAAGCAAATCCAATGGGAACTGACCAGGACCCTCTGTTCCCTGACATCTGTGCTGGGGAATCACAGACCATGGAGAGCTGGTGGGATCCTACAGAACCTCAACCTCAGCACTGCACCTAAACCCCACACACCTCCCTCAGAGCCCCTCAACCCTTCTCCAGAATTCCCAAAGCCCACTCATGGAGCTGGATAGGCCTCAGATAGATAGCTCTGCAATATTTGGGCCCCACCTTCCAGCTCCCCCTGTGTGCTCACAGCCTCAGGCACTGGGTGGTGGAGAGGGGGTGATCAGCTCCCCCCAAAACCATCCAAGCTTGCATTTTAACAGGAAAAAGTGGGAATTTCATGGCATGGAATATCAGCTGTGCTGGCCTGGCCCCCTCTGCAGGGGCACAGGGCCCATCCTTGGGGTAACAGGGGGAAGGGGAGTCCTGAATGTAACCCAAAGTGACAGCAATGCTGGGATGGGGCTGGAAGATGCCCAGTTCCTCCCCACCTCCTCCCTCTGGCACAAATCTCCCTGTGCAATGGATAACACAGTCCTACCCTGGCTGAGAACGTGCTGAGCTCATCTTATGGGCTGAGCTCAGCTCAAGGCCCACTTTGCTGTTTAGTGCTGAAAATTGACATCTTAACAGAGCAATGAGATGGAGATTTACCCTAAACTGCCTTTTTTTATGCCCTGAAAAGCCCCCATGCCCAAGCAAGGCACTCTGTTCCTCTCCTTGCTTCCCAATTATTTTGAATACGAGAATAGCAAAGTTTTCAGGACTGACTTTCCCTGCAGGAGGACAAACATCCCCTTTAAACCCCCCCCAACTCGTCCCAATTTCCTCTGGAAATTAGAGAGAATTTCTAATTTTTCTTTCCTTTCATAGCTTCTCTCCCCAAAACCTCCCTCTCTAATGAGCTCTAAGCACCCGGAAAGAGACTGCAGTGCTCAGCACTGGGATGAAACCCAGAGGTATTTTCCTATTAGGAAAACAGCATCAATCTCTCATGAGCAAGGAAACGGGGGCGGAGGTGCTCGGGAAAGGATTTATGGCTTTTTTTGTTGTTAACTGAGCTCTTTCCTGTAATGTTTCACCGAGCTGCTCTGACATCCCCCTGACCTGCTGCTCAAATCCCTGGGAAATCGAGCCCAAGGCATTGGGAAGGGAAGAGGCACCACGCTCCCGCTGCTGGCAGCACAGGGATTGATGGATTTTTCACCCACAGACCTCAAGATCAGGCTGCGGAGCCCTGGTTTGGGGTGCAGAGCCCCAGAAAGGGATACAGAGCTCCAGCTTTTGGGTGCAGAGCCCTCTCCATCCATCCCAACACCCCAATGCCAGGGCCAGGGCAGCTTCATTTTCCTTGGGAGCTGCTGCAGAGCTCACTTTTCCTGCTTGGAGGGATAATAAAACTGCTCAACAAGGGACAGAAACCATCAAAGTCACCCGTCCCCCCTGGAAAAGGGCATCCCCCAGCATTCATATGGTTGTCACCTCGCTGCTGCCAAGGCCACAGGCACAGAAAGTCCCAACTGCTGTTCCCAAAGCACCTGGACCAGCCTGGCATTCCCCGCTTCAAGCACGCTGCAGTCCCCAAATGTCCCAGTCCAGGTTCCAGCGATCTCCCTGCTCATCCTCCCTCCCTGTCCTGCTCCAGGCACCCGAGGCCAGTGTGCTGAGCCCGGGCTAAACTCGGCTCACCGGTGGTGCCGGTCCTGCAGCGCTGCCGTGCCAGCCCCTTCCACCCCTCTCCAGCCCTGCCCGGCCTCCATCCGCAGGGCACAGAAGTGGGATGGAGTTTGCTCCTGGCACCAATAAAGACGCATCCCAAACTTGCCAAAAGAGAAGGATTTGGGCTCTGCTCTCACCCATCGCCCTCCCCAGCCCCCCGCAGGGGACACATCCCACCCAAACCGGCGTCCCCCGCGCTTTACCTGGACAGGTACAAATCCTCAGGGATCTGCGGGCACCCCCGGGCGGCCCCGGCATCCGCCGAGTTATGTCCGCTCCTATGGGGCAGGGTGGACCCTGCGACCGCCGGGGCCCACCCGGCTGGCGGTGGGGACCGGGCAGAGCCCCCCGCGCCGCCCGGGGGTCCCCGAGCTCAGTCCGGGGATCCACGGGTCTGCCCAACCCCGGGATGCTTCCCGGCCCCCGCCGCTGCCCGGGGGTCCCTGCGGGCCCAGAGCCCAGCCACGGGATGGATCCGGGATGTCCCCTCGCACCCGGGATGCTTCCCGGTGGTGCGGGACCGGGAGCGGCTCCGCTCCCTCGCCCAGCCCAGCCCGGGGCGGAGCCGCCGCTCCTCCGTGCCATGAGCTGGGCGGTCTCTGCGCTCGCCAGACCCTCCCCGGGGCTTGGCTCAGCCCAGCCCAAACCCCCCGGCACAGCCTGGGGACCCCGGGGGTCTCTCACTCTGGTTTGCCTGCCAGGCTCCCAGCTTTCCTCAGGAAGTTACAATAAAAAAAAAAAAAAAATCCTAAGAAAATTCACCTCAAACCCCTGCAAACACACTCCAAATCACAGCCAGGAGTGAGAAGGGACAATGCCAGATCCCTCACCCCACACCACAGACCCTCTGCTGCATGCTTGGCCATAACTGGCTTCCCCAAATCTCACTTCCCAGGGACTCCCTGGTCCATCCCGCTGCATCTCTGCACCTCCAGCTGCTCCTCCCTAGGGACCCTGACGAGTGTTTCTCTCCATGGGGTCCCATGTCCCCTCCCCTTGGCCCTCAATGGGTGCAGAGCCCCCTGGGGTCTCTGGATCACCACCCCAAACCTGAATCCTTGGGTTCTCCCTTGTCCCAAACAGCTTCCAGCTGTGTCCCTCCTGGCCATGGGGACACCTGGGGCTGTCCATCAAGGGCATGGCTTTGGATCTTCCTAAGAAAAACCATCAGATCCTCTCTCTCTGCAGCAGAAAGTGAAACCTTCTAGGATCTGGCTCCACAAGACCCTCAGACAGTTTGGCTCCATAAGACCACAACCATTGGAAAGACTGTGCCTTCAAACACTCCTGTGGGATCTTCCCTTTCCCTGCCCTCATTCATATCCATGGCTTCAGCCACCTCATCTTGATGTCAGGCGACTTCCAGGGCAGTAAGGAGAAATTTCAAGCAGCAGAAGAAACAATCTCCTTGAAGAAAATTGCGACTTTGTGGGGAAAAAACACCCACCCAACCTGAAAAAAGGTGGGGTCAGAGGCCACGGTGCATCGTGACATTCCAGAGACATTCCTGTAATTCCCAGGAACACCCACATCCAGCCACAGAGCCAGCTCAGCGGTGGCTGCAGGCTACCTGCTCTGGAAAGACCCAGGGAGGGCAGCACTGGGAGGTGCTCCCATGATCTTCCTGGTAGAAGTTCATTTTCGGGGAGAAACAAGCAAGTTCTGACTGTACCAAAAACACTGCCTGGGTGGGAGAGCTGCCTGCTCCTGCATCCAAGGCTCCTTCCCATGAGGCTTCCTGGCTCTTCCTCTGGGTACAGCTGGAAAAGAGCAGGCCATGGTCCTCCCCCACTTCCCAAAGCTCCTCTGCATCCCCAGGGATGTGGCAGGATGTCCTTCAGCCCGGGACAGCCTGGGATCCAGCACCCTCCTGCATGGCACCTCAGGGCTCACCACTCCAGATTTTGGGCAAGAGTGACCATCAGATCTGCTCCAGATGGGATTGGATCAGGCTGAGGTTTGGAAATTTTCAAGCTGGGCACCTGGATTCATCCAGCCTCACACAGACACCAACTCACCCATTAACAAACCCTCCTTTTTAAAGCCAACACTTACCTTTGGCCAGGCTCTCCATGAAATCGGTGTGACCACAGGTGGGAGACCTGCTCCAGGTGAGCTGGACACTCCTGTGTGGCAGCAGGAGCTGGCCACCTCTGCCCTCCCACACGGAGGGTCCCATTTCAGGCCACACCAAACATTATTCCCATGAGGATTCTTGGCTTCCTTCCACCTCCTCACTATGAGGCTGCTTTGAGCACTGCTCTGACACAATCACAAAAGGATTCCTAAATCCAGGTCAGTTTGCAATGACCAGAGCATGCCTTTTCCCCTCAACATCTGGATACATTCCTTACCCCAAGGCCCGGCATCCATCCACTTGTGTGTGGAGGGGACACAGCCCAAGCCCCCTCAGCCCCCTGGCTCTGTGTGTGAGGTGACAAGAGAGGACCCACAGGCACAAGCTGTCCTAAAGGACAAACTAGCACACAGAACTACATGGACAGGATCCAGACTGTCCCTGGGATCCCTTGGATGCAGACAGATGAGTCAGTGGTTCACGTATAAGGTCAAAGCTCCTGGATCTTTCTGGACATTCCTCACCAGGTGTTACCAGCGCAGGCAAGTGGCCCTTTGGTGCGAGAGGGGTGCAGTGACAAGACCCTCTATGTCACCTGGCCACCTCCCTAGCTGGGGATTCCTGACTTCCCAGCTGCTCACTGCCCACTTTTCACAGGTGGAAAGCATTTGAGACACTAAAGCTGGGAGAAATGCAGATGCTGGCTGTCATTCCTGTACAAGACAAAGCTGGATTAAAAACCCAGACGTCTGCTGGGCAGCAGCTCTGCAAGCTCCTGCCATTCCAATAATTTGGGGTTGCACTCTTGGAATTGTACTGTGGTATTTGTGTCATTTTCTTCTGGATAAACACTTCCCTGAAAAACAGCCAGATTGGATTAAGCAGTGACAGGCTGACGTCAATGACCAGGACAGCGACGCGAGGGCTCAGAGCAGAGGGTGCAGAATCCATGTGAATTAGTGGAGCTCTCACATTTTGGAATAATGACCTGGGGAAACAAAGCAGCCCAGGCTTCCAATTCCCTTCCCCGGATGCTGAGTCACCAGCAGAAACGCTGCCTGGCTCAGGATGCTCCCTGGCTGTGCTGTGCCAGGGACGTGCTTGGCCTGGGCCTGCTGGTGGCAGGGGGACAGGGATCAGGGATAGGGGGGTGTGACACTGCAGGGATCAGCTTTCCCAGAAACCCCTCACTCTGGAGCTATCCTGGAAGGAACAGGGCAGTGACAAAGGGTGGCAGAGCCTGATGTGCTCCTGTCAGACCCCTGAGCAAAGCCCGTGCAGTGAGGACACAAACCCAGCTGAGGATAAAGCAAAGAACTCCAGACTGATGGGACACTCCTGGTTTCTGCTTGCGACACATTTTACTCCTCAGAGCGAAGGCAGGTTGACCTTTCTCACTTCACCTTCCCTTACATTTAAGAGATGACCAAGACTAAAAGAGAAATTAAAAATAAGACCTAAGGAGAAGTTGTCTGTCTCCCCAGAGCTGGGACACAGCACCCCCGTGCCGTAGGCTGCTCCAGGACCTTGGAAGTCAGAGGGATGCCCCCTGGAGGGGCTGGAACAGCAGTGGAGTGTGGTACATCCTGTGCAAGGAATGCAGCTCGGCCACACGTCTCCATGCACCCACGGTCACCTCGCTGAACGCTTCACCCAGTCCTCCTCCACAGCTCCAGGTAGTTCCAGCAGGAAGAACAGGATTCATTTCCAGTGCCTTGTCTCTGTACACTCCAAAACAAATGTTCCTAATGCCAAACACCCCATGGAGCTCTCAGTTCCCTGGGAATGGAGAAGCAGATCCCTGTGTGCCATGCTCTGAGCCCCATCTCCACACCTGGTTCCGAGGAAGACACACAGCACCCGGTGAAGGCCCCACCCCATGTGTGGGGTCAGCACTGACCTCCCTCCACACAGACTTCCTCCAGCCCTGCCCTGTGGCACGAGGAGAGAAGGGGGCTGTGCCAGTGCCATCCTCCCCTGTGAGATTCCCACACGCTGGAACGCTAACAATGACAATTAGGAGTTAGGTAGGATAAGGTTGGGACTGTGCACCATGAGTTCCTGTCAGCCCCGTGTCCATGCTCAGAGCTTCCTCTCCTGGAGTTTGCTCCCGTTGGGCTCATCCAGCAGGGCTGAGTGTCCATCCCCGTTGCTCAGGCATTTGTCCTTCTCGTACCTGTGCTCCTGCTTCTGCCGCCGGATCTCCTTGTACCGCAGGGTGATGTCCCTGCAACACACACAGCACACAGCTCCAGCCTGCAGGAAGAACGGCAAGGGAACCTCTCTGCACAGAGCTTCCTGGGGATAACAACTTGCTGGAGCCTCTGGCTGGGCATTTCTACAATTGCTGATGGCACTGATTCACTGGCAGTTTGTGTTTCTGGCTGGTGTCCTGGTTCTTCCCACCTCTTGCAGAGCACAACAGCCAATCCTGCAGGAGCAGCTGCTGCTGCCCCCTCCAAACAGCACTGCACTTCAAACAGTTGTGGAATGGTTTGGGTTGAAAGGGATCCTAAAGCCCACCCTGTTCCACCCCCTGCCATGGGCACCTTCTGCTATCCCAGGCTGCTCCATCCAACCCGGCCTTGGACACTTCCAGGGATCCAAGGGCAGCCACAGCTTCTCTGGGCAGCTGTGCCAGGGCCTCAGAACCCTCATTTTTCCCCACACCACACCTAACCCTGCTCTCCGTCAGTGCAGAGCCATTGCCCCTTGTCCTGTCTCTCCAGCCCCTGATAACCAGGGTCCCTCTCCAGCTTCCTTGTGGGTCCCTTCCAATACTGGAAGGCTGCAAATTCCTTAGGCACCATGAAGCTGCTTTCCATGATCCAGACAGAAAACTGCCAGGATCAGGCCCAGGGAACTCCCTGTTTATTTCAGAGCTTGCACCCACCCAGGAGAACTGTGCTCTCTCCCCAGGCAGTACATTTGAGGATGGGGGTTGAACAAATCCTCCTAAAATCCTAGCCAGCCCCAAATGCAGCCCCACTCACCGGATGAAGAAGCGCCAGGCTGTCCAGGTGAGCACCAGGATAATCCCCAGGATCCAGCACTGGGTGATGTAGAAGGGCAGGGAGAGGGTGAGTGTGTAGGGATCGTACTTGACCACGATCAGGAACTCCGTGGCAGTAATAGCAGCAACCAGCCAGGCCTGCTGGCCCAGCTTCTTGTGGAACTTCCTGCAGGAGAAACAGACAAAAAACATCTCATTGCTGTAAAATTTGGGATGTGGAGAAATCTGCACAAAAAGACAGCTGGGGCAGTGATTTCATTCCGCTTTGCACAGTCCTACATGTCTAGTTCAGATCACACATGCACTAAGGCTCTGCAGGATGACACTTTCATGTTGGTGTGACTTCAGTTTCCTCTCAGAGGCTCTAAAAGCAAAAGAAGTTAAACTTAATCACCACACAATGCAGGGAAGTGTCCCCATTCCCAGGTA